GGATTTAGGTAGAAAGAAGGGGACATTTCTGGTGAAGGGCCACCTGAGAAAGGTGCAGCCATAGGTGTGGGCCCGGAAGCCGGGAACAGAGAGGGGTTAGAGAAGAGGGCAAGTGGGCCTGGGATGATATCTGGTCTGGATGGGTGTGAAGGCTCAAGCAATGGTGGAAACCCATGGCCATTTCTCACTTCTCTGGCCCATTCCAGTGGGGGAGAACTCACAAAGTCCAAGGTTGGTTAGCAGGGAAAAGAGCAAGCACATCTGGGGGACTTCGCTGCCCGTGTTAAGAGCTTTACCTTCATGGTCTCATTCAGCCCTCAGAGCAGTCCTGATTCTCCCACTGGATAAGGATGGGAACCAAAGCTCAGAGAGGGTTAACATTTTGCCCAAGATCACACAACTATGAGCTGCCATTTGCTATAAAATCACACTGCCTACATTTCCCACCTCATCCAACTCAGCTGCCCAAAAGCAATGGAGAAAGAGTGATGGGGAGACACGGGGGAAGGGGCAAGAGTCAGGAAAAGAGAAGGCCAAGTGTGGGGGCTCTGGGAGGGACGCACACTTCCCTGGACTCTGCCTGGCAGCCAACTCTCTCCATACAGGTACCTTTCCAGGTTATGGTCATCGTTCCCTCTTGTCTGTTCAAACCTAGGAGTCAGGCAAGGCTTCTCACAGGTTCCAGCCCCTAAGGGCACTGTAGTCTCCCTCTTGTTTTTCCTAAACCCCACCCTCAGTATTGGAAATAGTCCCTTTATTAAAAACTTCCCTCAAGCTCCTGAATTTGAAGGTTTTTTTTTTTTTTTTTTGAGACGGAGTCTTGCTCTGTCACCCAGGCTGGAGTGCAGTGGCCGGATCTCAGCTCACTGCAAGCTCCGCCTCCCGGGTTTACGCCATTCTCCTGCCTCAGCCTCCCGAGTAGCTGGAACTACAGGCGCCTGCCACCTCGCCCGGCTAGTTTTTTTTGTATTTTTTAGTAGAAACGGGGTTTCACCGTGTTAGCCAGGATGGTCTCGATCTCCTGACCTCGTGATCCGCCCGTCTCGGCCTCCCAAAGTGCTGGGATTACAGGCTTGAGCCACCGCGCCCGGCCTTTGAATGGTTTTTTTTTCCTAGCCGGACCCTGGCTGATGTACCTGCTATGTGAGCCACTCTCCATGGCCCAATCTCTCACCTGCTGTCCTGGTATCACTGCTGTCATCATCACCACCAGCCCCTTCACACTCCCAACTTTTAGTGAGCACTTACTCTGTGCCAGGTCCCATGCCAAGAGTTGACCTACGCCATCTCATTTCATCCTCACGTTTATGCTCCTGGGAGTTATTGTTGTGAGTTCTTTTTTTTTTTTGAAACAGGGTCTCATTCTGTCTCCCAGGCTGGAGTGCAGTGGCGCGATCTCAGCTCACTGCAACCTCCGCCTCCCGGGTTCAAGTGATTCTCCTGCCTCAGCCTCCCCAGTAACTGGGATCACAGGCATGCCACCACGCCCAGCTAATATTTTGTATTTAGTAGAGACAAGGTTTCACATGTTGACCAGGCTGGTCTCGAACTCCTGACTTCAAGTGGTCCACCTGCCTTGGCCTCCCAAATTGCTGGGATTACAGGTGTGAACCACCGCACCTGGCCAGAGCCCATTTTTAAGGTGAGGACACAAATGCTCTGAGGGAATGGACTTGCCCAAGGTCACATAGCTTTGAGGCAGCAAAGTTGGGATTTGACTCCAGGTCTGCTGGCTCCAAAGTCCATGATCATAACCACCAAACCACGCTGCCTTTTCCTTTCATTCTGGGGAAAGGAGCCGCAGCTCTCCTTTCTTCTCTCCTGAAACTGAGGCAACATGAAAAATTCAAGACCAGAGATGAAAACACATGGCCTTTTGAATGAGGCCAGACCAATGTCTCTGCACAGTGCAGCTACAGATACTGGTGTCAAAGGAGATTGAGGTGGTGTGTCCCAGAGGCTCAGCTGGGCATGGCTGGCCAGGCCCGCAGAAGCAAGGGCAGAGCCAGGGGGCCTGGAGGACATCACTTCTATCCAGCACAGAGGGGCTGCAGGGCTGCTTGATTACGAGGGCTAGTGGGGTCATGACACCCCAGACTGTGACTATCACTAATGTAGCTCGCTCCCATTTCCAGCTAAGCCTGTTAGATGCGGGCTGCTGTCTTTAGGGTCTGCTTGCCAAGTGGACCAGGGTGGGATCCTGGAGGCTGTGGGGACCTGCCCTTCTGACCTTCCCCTGGTTCCTTGCTGTGCAGAGGTGACTTTTATCAGCTCAGTAAATGGCTGCTGGGCTAAACCCATGTGTATCTGTGTTTTGTCTCAGAGCAGACTTCGTGATAGTCCTGACCCTGTCTTGCTGCACCTAGTTCTTCTGGGCTCTGGGCACCACCAAATAGGCAAAAAGATTTGGCAGCAAACAAAAAAGCATGATAACTCGGAATCTGTCAGGCCTGGCTCTAACCCTGGTTCTGCCAGGCACTGGAGCGAGGTTTGGGCAAACCTCCTGATCCCCCAGAGCCTCCCATTCCCCATCTGCAGAGCAGATCTACCAACAGGCTCTGTGCAGGGTAGTGGCGAGGATTAGACAAGAGAATGGATGCCTTCACATGGTAGGCAGCCCCACAATGGGCTTTCCTTCACGCTTACAAGCACCTCTGGCCCAAGCTTTGGCAACAGGAGACTTGGGGGTGATGAGTAGAGTGTGGTGTTCTCGTTGTTGGACAATGCAGCTTCCATTTGCTTAGCAGGCACGTTTATGGATTGCTATGTTGAAGGATTCCTCTTGGTGTTTGGCAACCAAAGCTCTCATTTGGGGCAACCCAGCTCTCTCCATCATGTCATAAATCACTTTGCTAAAGATGCAACGTGGCTTTTGGCCATTTTTCTTTTGAAAAATCAATAACTCGTTTAACAAGAGACTGAATAAAGGTGTGAGCAATGAAGCTGCCTGCCATTTCCTTCCATCAGGAGGGGCAGAAGCAGTGCCCTGCCAAGGTTGGGTTGGGGGGTCTACTCAGAGGGCAGAGAGGCCTTGGGGTGGGGACAGTAGGCTCAACCTGTTTCCAGCAAACCTGTGTCCCCTCACCCCAACTCTTCCAACCTCCAAATCTGACAAAGGCCCTCCTCTGCTTCAAAAAACACCTTAGTAGAACCCCATCACTGCAGGGGACCCCTGCCAGCCTCCTGGTCTGCTCTCCCCAGGCCCTGCACCCAATCCCAGCCTCACACCTACACTCCAGCCTCATGACATGCCTGTGGTCCCTGTGAAGGTGCAGTGGTCTCTCCAGCCTTCAGTCCTTCACCTTTACTGTTCCACGTGCCTGGGCCATCCCTCTTCCCCAGCCAGCCCGAATAATCCAAGACACAGTTGAATTGTGCACAACCTGCACAAAGATTCACTGCAACCTTCCCCCACCCCCACCTCAGGGACATCAGATCCACAGCCCATGGGCCTCCCGTGCCCTGGCTCATGATCCATTGTGGGCTTCTCTGGGACAGGATCTATCTTCCCGAAGGGCAGGGACTATGTCCCCAGGGTCCAGCATGTTGCCCAGCGCAGAATTGGCACCAGGTGTGTGCTTGATGTATAAGTGAGGGATGACATTCGTGTCAAGTGTCTTCCTCCTTCCTGCTACTTCAGCCTGGGACAGTGATGCCTGCTCCCCCAAGCCCTCCCTCTCCACAGTCCAAGCCCCTAGTGCCTTCTCCTCTTGCTAGGGCATGCATGGATGTGTATAGGAACCTCGTAATAATAGCTAACGGTGAGCACTATTCTGTGTGTTTTACAGATGTTAACTCAGTCCTCACAATGACATATGAGGTAGGTGCTACTGTTGTCCCCATTTTATTTTATTTTTATTTCTATTTTTTGAGACTGTGTCTCAATTGTCACCTAGGCTGGAGTGCAGTGGTGGGACCTTGGCTCACTGCAACCTCTGCTTCCCAAGTTCAAGTGATTCCCCTGCCTCAGCCTCCCAAGTAGCTGGGATTACAGGCGCCTGCCACTACGCCAGACTAATTTTTGTATTTTTAGTAGAGACTGGGTTTCACCATGTTGGCCAGGCTGGTCTTGAACTCCTTACCTCAAGTGATCTGCCTGCCTTGGCCTCCCAAAGTGCTGGGATTACAGACATGAGCCACTGTCCTCGGCCTGTTGCCCCATTTTAAAGATAAGAAAATGGAGGCAAGCTTTAGACTTGGCCACCTGGCTGCAGAGACTGTGGCCTTAATCACAGCACTCTCCTTATTGAGGTGCTTGTGGGGAGCCTGGGGGTAGGGGTGACAGCCCTGGGTACCTCGCCCACTGGACAGGGCCTCAGGGTTGGTTCTGCAGCAGGGATGCGCCGCCAGCAAGTCCAAGGGGCTCCAATTACAGGAAACTGCTCACTCAGGCCAAGTCAGCCCGGGCTCCCTCCCTCTCAGATTCCCTGCTCAGCGCCCGCCACCCTTTGCTCACACAGCCCGCCATCTCTACCAGAGAGCAGAGCCTCTGGCCCTAATCTCATTTGAGGCCATGAAATCGCATTTGCAGCGTATTAATGCAGCGTGGAGCTGGCCCGGCCCCTGCCTGTCTCCTGGAAGAGAGGAGCCTGGAAAGCAATCCCACGGGGAGGCGTCTCCAGGAACACCCGCCGACAAAAAGCAATTATGCTTTAAAAGGAAGATTAAAATAATGTCTACATCCTCCCCGCTCCCATGCCCATCCGTGAGCTCCACTGGCCCAATAGTGACTCAAGACCAGGCTTCCGGCTGGGGTAAGGAGTGGGGGCCCCATGGCCCAGCCCCTCACCTGCCCCCACAATCACTGACTCCCCAGAAAGCTTCCAAGTTCCCCAAAGAAGCCACAGTCTCTCCAGCCCCTGGGTCTTTATCCAAGCTTTTCCGTCCAACCCTTGCCTACCTGGCAAGCTGCCATTCATCTGGTGTCACGAGAATGGCCAGCATTTTGTGAGCATTGGCTATAGTCTTTAAATTTACTACACATTGAATTCAACAGTCCTGCTGGTGAGTGTTGTTATCATCCTCATTTTACAGATGAGGAAATGAGGTGCAGGGAGGTGAAGTCCCACAGCTGGAGGGGGCAGAACAGGATTGAAACCAGAGCCCATCACTACTCTCCTGGCTGCCTTTCTGCCTTGATCAAATACTTTCCACCCCTCCACTGCGCCTTCAGCCTCCACAAGGTGGGTCTAGCTGTTTCGCCTTCTATACCCAGTGACTGCAGTGGTCTGCCTGTGGTGCTCCTGTCTTTCCAAGAGCCCTGAGAGGCCAGGCCTGGCATAGAATCAGGGTTCAACAAATGCTTCCTGCATGGAGGAATCAGTAACACCTCTCTGCAGAGGTAATGGGGTGGAGATGGGTGGCCCACCCCCCACCTCCAAGGCTGTGAATCAGGATGGCTTCCAGGCTGCCTGTGTTCTGGAAATCTTTGGAGCCCCCTCTCCTCCGAGGCCTCTTGGACTGCAGTGAGACTAGAATATTATTTAATTGTCACAACCACATTGCCAAGTAGGCATCATTACCCCCCCTTTTACAGATGAGAAAACAGAGAAGTAAAATGACTTGCTCAGGAACACCTACTGCAAGGCAGACCAGGAACCTGAACTCAAGGGTGAGTCCAAAGTTTGTCTACTGAACCTTCTTGACTGTAACTCCCTGTCACTTCTCAGATAGGGTGGGAAGGGCTTAATTATGGGCCAGGGCTACTTAAGTAACAATTTTTTCTAAGTGTCATCAGCCAACAGCAGTTGTTCAGGGAGTTTGCTCTGGGACCCTGAGCCATTGACAGCCCCAACTCCATCCCCAGCCTTGCTCCCAAACCATTCAGTGCAATAAACGAGCACTCATTGTTGGGGCCAGTGTAATACCAAGTAACCTGTCTTGGCAGGACTCAGTGTGATTTGGGGCCACCAGGAAGAAATATCCTCCCTCAAACTGCTTCCCCCTGATCCTGTCACGTGCCCAGAAAGCCCAGCATTAGTGCTGCATGGGCTAAGGAACAGCTTGCAAATGGGCTAAGGAACAGCTTGCAAAGTGTGAGTCTCCCTAGGAAAGGATGCTGTTAGTCATTCCCACCTGTGTGCTGACTACTGGCTCAGAAAGACCAAAATATATGGTGGAGATCTGGATTCCAGCTTGACCTTGCTACTGTCTGCCTTTGGCAAGCTGTTCATCTCCTCTAGGGGCTCAGTTTCTTGCTCCAGAAAATGGGCTCTACAAGGTTACCCTGCTCTCCTCCCAAGACCAGTATGATGCTCCAATGGGCTCTGCAGGCTGCCAAGTGTGATATAAGTTCCACCTTTGCCAGCCTGGCCCAGAGCAGCCTCTGGTACAGAGGGGATAGCAGAGAGCTTGAAGTACTCAGATATGGCACCTCCTGTGCATTCCCTTGGCATCTCCTGCAACTCCCCACCACCCCCATCCTACGAACCGGCTCTCTCCACCTCTTGTTTTCCCCCTACTTGCTTGTCCCTCGAATACCTCCACGTCTTTGCTTACACTATTCTCCACCTTTTTTTTTTCTGAGATGGAGTCTCGCTCTATCACCCAGGCTGGAGTGCAGTGCAATCTTGGCTCACTGCAATCTCTGCCTCCTGGGTTCAAGTGATTCTCCTGCCTCAGCTTCCTGAGTAGCTGGGACTATAGGTGCATGCCACCACGCCCGGCTATTTTTTATATGTTTTAGTAGAGATGGGGTTTCACCATGTTGGTCAGGCTGGTCTTGAACTCCTGACCTCGTGATCCACCCACCTCGGCCTCCTAAAGTGCTGGGATTACAGGCATGAGCTGCTGCGTCCGGCTCACCCTTGAAAACCATTCTCCCCACTCTCTGCTGGAATCCCACCCTACCATGGAGGCAGGGTTCAACTGTCTCCCTGACATTTGTGGGGTGGGTTCATAGCACCACACAATTTCCCAACCTCTTCCTCACTTGAGCCTCATAACTTCCTTGTTAGTAGGTCCATCATACAGATGAGGAATTTGAGGCCCAGGGAGGTTAGGGACTTGCTCCAAGTCATAACTGCTCATATGCAACTGGGAAATGAAGTTCTAAACAAAGTCTTCTGACTGCCAGCAGAACTGTCTTCCTCCAACAGACTGAGTCCTTGACGACCACCCAGCTCATGCCCACCACTTTTTCCACAATCGGCTTGGAAAGTGATCGTTCCTCAACTCCTCCTATTTCCTCTCCCTGCCCAGCCTGGCAGCTCCCTAAGGACTAGACATACAGCAACCCAGTTGACTGCTTGGGAAAGTGAATGAATGAATGAATGAATGAATGAATGATCATCAGCTCAGGCTGAGGGAGGTTGGACCTTTGGAGCCCAGGGCAGGCTGTCAGGTCCAGATGGAGGAAGGACATCCCACACGAATTCTCCATCTACCCTGGGAAGGGAGCTGGTACCTGCTGGCCCCAGCTGCTCCTGACTCCAGGACTCTGCAGAACCAGCCCAGGACCCAGGCTGGGGGTGACTGGGCTGGCCTGACAGCCACACCCCTCACCAGGGCCAGGGGGACCTCACTGGGTACTGTCAGCCTTCCTGCCCTGCTGCTCCCCACCCTAATCCACTGTTAGAGGTATATTAAAGATGGGTTTCACACAGGGTTTTAATCTCACCTCATATATCACATATGCCATGTCCCCAAGTCCCTTTCTCATCTGGTGCTGAACTTGGGGGTGTTGTACAGAGATGGAACCAGGAAGACGCAGGAGATCCAGGGAGGTGCGAGTCTGTGTGTGGGAGGATGTGCGCTTCCCAGGCAGGCCCATTGGTGTCTCAGTATGAATCTATCATTGGATGGGGGCGGGGGGCGGGGGGGTCTCTGCATGTTAAGGATGCTGGAGGTCTGTGTATACTCACATATGTGTGCATGCCTATGTGTCCTTGTGTGTGTCAGCATCCATGAGGGTGGATGGAGTTGGGGATGGGTGGAGGGTGTTCAGGAGTTGGGGGCACATCCATTTTCAATGGGTGTAAGGTCGAGAAAAGGCCACTGTCACTGGGTTTTCCTGCATCTTATCCCCGTTCACTGTGAAGATAATTTCTGGAGATGAGAAGGCCACCACATTTCCCTTCCTTGGAGCTCATGAGCTGCTCAGTGGGGCTGGGGTTGGTCTGGCTGGGAAGACATATCAGAAGCAGGCACCCCCTTCCAAACCATCTCCCCCACATCTCTCTCTCTCTCTCTCTCTCACACACACACACACACACACACACACGCACACACACACTTCTAGGAGGTGTGAGTCAGTGTCAGTCCCTGGCTGGGGTGAGGAAAGGCAGAGATGAGGGAGGACAGCAGGGCCATCTGGTGTGTTCGGTTACAACAATCTGCTAATGGAGGCTCTTCCCAGACTAGCACCCAGGCTGGGCTGGCCTTCTCCACCCTGCAAGCTGGAATCTGGGCCCAGACACAGTGAGACTCACAAGCTCCTAACACCCCTCCCTTGGGATACTGGCTGGGCAAGAAAGAGCAACCCTATTTTCTAGGTACAGAAACTGAGGCCCAGACACATCCTCTTTGTGCAATACAGACATCCCAAGTCATTACTAGAACAGCGCGAATTTATTAACCACTTACTGCAGGGCACGGCTAACTGTACACTAACTCATTTCATCTTGCCAGCAATAAAGGGCACAGAAATTGCTCTCTCCCATTTTACAGATGTGGAAGTGGAGGCTGAGGGAAGTTATATAACCTGCACCAGGTCAAACACTACTAAGTCAGTGCCAGAGCCCAATCGGCATCCACGTCCTCCTGACTTCCATGCATCTGCCTCTCACCCTAAGCTGGCTGAATCCCAAATCTCTCCCATCCCCTACCCTGCTGAGTTCCAGGCATGGACCCTGTTAGGACCCCGAAAGCATATATAGATGACAAGGAAATCTGGAAGCACAGGGGTGGAGGGACAGGCTTGGGCAAGGACACAAATATGGGACTCCCTCAAACTGTGCATTTTTGAGTCTCATCCATGCTGCCCAGGACTCTGGGCTCTCCTTCAGGGACCCCATGAACAAGAGTGTTTCAGTGCACCCAGAGGAGGAAGGGGAGCCAGCAGGCTGCCTGCAGGGTGGTCATGATGTATTTAGCCCCTGGCCTCTCTCCCTGACAGGGTGGGGGGGTGCAGGGGTGAAGTGGGGGCTGGAAGTTCTCCCCTACCCCAGCCTCCCCAGGGCCAGCACCCGCCTGCCCCACCTCTTTCTCTGCCATGGTGCCGGTCTGCACCCCTCCCTGCGTGGGTGACAGCATTCTCTGAGAACGCCGTGACAGTGCCTTTGTTCCCCTGAAATAAAAGAAAATCGAGCTACAAAGGGAAACCTCAGGTAGCTTTTAACGGGGCTCAGCTGCCTGGGGCAGAGTGTGTTTAAGCTGGAGGCAGTTGTCAAAGGAGGAGAAGGGGGAGCTGCCTGCAGTTCCCCTCCCACCTCCTACTCAAGGGGGGAGCCCCCATGATCGCGTTTACTCAAGGAAAAGGCTCTTCCAAATAGTGGCAGAGGAGAAAATCAATGGAAATTGATGGAGAAATGTAAAGCAGCTGTCTGCTGTCTGCTCTGTGTGTGTGTGTGTGTGTGTATGCTGGCAGTGGGCACAGCCTCAGCAGAAGCATGCTGCCTGGACGGGTCTGACCTGTTCGGGGCCAAGGCCCAGAGGGTGGGGGCTGGGAGTCAATCTCTGGCACGTGCCTGTGGAGGGGCGCTGGTGGCTGGGGGAGGGGCGGCAGCAGAGTCTCTAACTCGAGTTAAGAGAGAGATTAATATATTCAATCCGCTCCAGGGTAATTGAGGGAACAATTGGAGTGTTTTTCTAAAGCCCATAAAACTGCCTCATTTGCAAGGAGGAGCTGACCAGCCTCCAGTCCTCTATGTTTGGTGAAGCGCAGGAAAGGAGGAGGAGGGGGAAGCCCAGTGCCCAAGGGCTGGGATATCAGCCTGGGAGGGGGCTGGCAGTCCTGATCTAACCTGTTCTTACTTTCCCCACCTCCCACCATTTTGTTGGTAGCAACCCAAGCATCGCATTGTAGAGCCTCTCTTTCCCCACCTGTGAAATGGGCCAGTGACAACTCCCCTCACCAGGAGAGCAGAGGGAACGGCACAACGGGAGGCTTCACAAGAGGAGGAAAACCAGCTAACCCGAGGGTCCAGCACTGAGGGGACGGGGCATGAATGGTGCCCGGTTCTCCACCCGCGCCAGCCCCCACTTACACCCCAGCGCCGCACCCCTGAGATTAAACGGGCAGTAAAGAGTAAAGTTAATGAAATCCACATCGTGTGCCTCTCCCCGCTTGAACCATTCCAGTCTCCAGGGCAATAGAAATAGTGTACGCAATTGCGAGCAATAAAAGGCATAATGAATTTAAAAGCAGGCCACGGGGGTGGGGGAGTGAGGACGGAGTGCTTGGGCCTTAAAGGCAAGAGGATGCCTGGGGCTGGAAGAGCGCCGGCCTGGAGCTCCAACTAGAACTGGGACCAGAGACACACAGGAGGCGGGGGTGGGGGGAGTGGGTTCTGATGGGGGTAGGGGTGGCCGAGGGGATGCTAGGCAAGCCGTTCACAACAGCTCCGTGGCCGCTCTCCTTTCTCCTCCACTTCTCCTTAATGAAAGCCCCCTAGCCAGTGGGTGCCAAATTCACAATCAGAATCCACAGGCTTAGAGCCAGGTGCTCGGCATTTGGTGATTGCTTTATTAGCTTTTCTCCTTTTTTCTCCTCCAGGGGGAAGAAAAGGTGTTTTAAACAGAAGGAATTAAAAAAAAAAAAAAAAAGAAAGAAAAAGAAAGTAAAAGAAACCCTTGAAAGCTTGTCATTTAAAAGGCTCCTGGGAAACGAAATCGTTTCTATGAAACAAAACTGCGATTGTTGAGAAGAGGTAAATGCTGGGGGAGGGAGCCCACCACACCCCTCCTTCTCCTTCCAGAGCTCAGAGCTGTGTGGGAGGGAGTTCCCCGCCTTCTAGCGAGGGAGCCCCCAGGGTGGCTCCCAGAGCTACAAGCAAGGAACCTTAAAATTTGCGTTTCCAGAAATTTCATCTCTGGGAATTTCCAAAGTTTCCCTCTTGAACAGCTCTGCCAGTGGGAGATTGTCAGTAGACTTTCAGAGATCTCTTGGAGAGGGCAGTGAGGTACCAGGAGGGTTTGTGACCCCTGAGAGCCCAGCTCCAGGCCCACAGCTGTTGTGGTCTCCTCTGCCCTTCCCAGTCCCTCGAAGAGGCATCATTTTCCCCTAAAAATGTCCAGCCGAGTCACATCTGATGGCCTTTTTGCCGGCTTTGAGCTGTGCCTTCCTGCTTTCCTAACCCCAGGGTGCTCTGCCCAGCACCGAACAGGCCACCTTCATTCTGGTCTGATAAACTGCCCCTTACCCAGGGGAAGGAGAGGCTCTGGGAGCTGGAGTGGCATAGCTCTAGGGTCTCAAACCTGCCAAGAGGCGACAGGAGGCAGCGCTGGGGGTGGGTGGGATGAGTCTAGTGGAGCTCTACCCAGAAAGGAAGCACCCTGCACCTCTGGGAAGGGCTGGTGCTGTGGCTGGCAGGAACCTGGAAATAGTTAGCCCTCCAGGTGGGTAAATTCCCTCTGCAGCACCTGCCTGCATGCTCCCAGTACCCCCATTCTTGGGTCAAGGACTCAGGGAGTGGCCTCTATCTTGGAGCCTGTGATTGTGCATGCTGGAAGTATTCGTGGAGGATAGTCCCTCCCACCATCACCTTCCCACCCACACAGAGGAGGAAGCTTGGGGACTGGAGAAGGGAAGGTTTTCACTGTCCCTAATTTTATTGCTCAGGGGAATTGATCGTTTTAGTTCCTGAGTCTCCAGGACTAGAGAATGCTGTGACCAGCATTGGCAGGGCCATTTAAGGCTGTGCCACCCGTGGGCCGTGGCTCAGAAGCAAAATGATTCTGATTCAAAGCCAGTAGTGGAAGTTTGCACAGAGCCCTGACCCTGGTCTCACACTGAGCCTTGTCTTCTACTTCCTTCTCATTCTAGATCATCTCGATCATTGCATTCCTGCTCACCCTGCTCTCCAGCCCCTGCTCCACTGCCCCACCGTGACCATCATCAGTTCTGGTGGGGAAAACAAAACAAAACAGTGCCACACACTACACAAACTGGAGAACAACTTGTGAGCCTACAATCAAGTTCTGAATTGAATAGATTCAATTGTTGAAATGCCTGATCATAGTCAGGACTGAGCATAACCCAGGAGGGATAAAATCAATGCTGGGAAGGCTTCCTGGAAGAAGTGATCTTGAGCCTAGACATTTGCATCTGGAGCCAGAAATCCATCCCTAGCTTTGATCTGAATATTGCTCGCTGACAGCCCGCTCTTGCTGCTGTCCTTCTGGCCACGCCTTTGAGCCTCCAAGTAGCAGCACCAGAAAGGTGCCTGCCTTCCTTAGCCTGAACTGCTAGAGCGAGATATCTGGAGCTAAAACAGCCCCTGTATTCTCTGAAGGACCCGTCTTCATTGTCTGCTCCCTTGTGTTTCCTGGCCCTGTCGTCAGGGTTATGATTGCTGACTTTCCCCCAACTCTCCCCCAGGAAAGCTATTTTCCTCTCCCTTGAAAGCCATTTTCTTGTCTTGGCAGAAGCAGACATCTGACACTTTAAGAGGGAGCATGGTGGGGAGATGATGGCTTTAAATAACAGAAATTAGAGCTGCTGAGTTCCACTCAGCCATCTCGCCAATCCCCTTTCCCCTCCCTCGCACACATTCAGAACTGCAGCTTGAAGAGCATTGTCCACGTGGCTTGTGGCTCAGGCGGCCAGGGAATTCTGGGACCTAGAGAGCAGGGGACAGCTTCTCCTGAGTTCACAGCTTTTGCATACCTAGTCCTGTGACAAACTGTAGGACACCAGGTCCTGAAGTCAGGGAGCTTGCAGTCTAAGGGAACAGAATGTCACCTAAGAATGGAAGTGACATGCATCTCATTTTACAAGCTCAGCACCCAGCACACAGAGCTGGGTGTGCAGGAAGTGGTCAAAAGTATGCGTTGATTGACTGATGAATGAATTAATGGACAGAGGCCACAGTGGGCCATGTCAACAGGCTGAGTGACTGGGCAAGAGAAGCTGGTCCCTGGGTCTCTGGGTCCCTGGGTCCCTGGTCATCCTTGTAGTTATCCTGGTACATGCTGCCCTATTGCTTGGCCTAAAGCACAGCTCAGATCTGGTCTTTCTCCCGCACAAACCCTGCACAAACCCCTCTGGTGTTCCCCACTGCCTCCTAAAATGAACATCACCTCTCTCTTCCTGATGTCCTCAACTCCCTCCACTTTCTCCCATCCCCAGGCCTTCTCCCAGCCTGACGGTCCACCACCTGGGCTCCACTTCAGCACCAGACGAATGCACTGCAGGAAGAGAGGCACCGCAGGCGGGCCAAGCACCTTTGGTTGTCAAATTCTAGCTCCAACCTCAGCTCATCCTCTACTGCCAGCCAAACCTCTCCCTTCTCCTTAGCCAGTGTATTGTGGTCCCTCCTCCTGGAATACCCTCCCCAAAGCCCGGGATTGCTATCCCTAAGTCTTACCCACCTAGCATGCAGTCAGAGAGTTGGCATTTAACAAATGTTTGATGGATGAATGAATGGATAAAAGGATAAATGAAGGAATGAATGGGAAGATTCACCTCAAATGACCCCTCTTTCTCTTTCAAGAAGCCATTCCTAGGCACCAAAATCTGACATGCACACTCCCTCACTAGAACTCTCCTGCCAGCCATGCCCTACAGGACCATAGACGATACCCTCACTATACCCAACTGTCTTCAAGCCAGGCAACACCCTGAGCTTAGGTGCTGATCACTTTGGATTCTGTGCACTATTATACACTAAGGTCTCCAGGAAATGTTGTTGACATTAAATGGAGTCAGGCGTACCTTGGGCTGTTTCTCCACCTGTCAAATGGGCTACTACTTGCTCTACCAGCTTCTATCTGTGCTGGCCATGAGGCCTACTAGACACGCTGTCTGGCCACAGAACATGGCCATAGTGGAGAAGCCTCCTATATTTTGCATAAGGACTAGACTCTCTCACCTGGGTCCTGGGTTGGGGTTGAGCCCCTCCTGGTCAGGGTGGAAGCTGGATGGGCTTGAGGGTGGGCATACAGAGGAGGCTTCTGTCCCCTGGTTACTTGGGGCCTCCCACAAAATCTGGTGAGAATGAGGTTGGGAACTGAAGAGTCTCAGGGGACACTAACCCACAGAGCAAAAGAAACCCCACTCAGCTGGCTCCCTGCTCTGTGTGGCCTTTGCCCCATTTTCTGTCTGCCCCTTCAAATTGGGACTCCTGTGTCCATCCTCAGACTGCACATTCCCTAGACTGAACGTGGCAGCTTTGGGAGCTCTGCTGCTCTGCTCAGCTCAGGACAGGGGGTAGCCTGGCTTATCAGGAAGGCTGGGTCTTGTGCCTGGTGAGCCCACAACCTGAACTGGGACCCGGGAAGCACCCACCTTTAGCCTGGGGAGCTGGGGCTCTGGGCATGGTGACATCAGTTCTGGCTGGACAGCCCCAGGAGGGCTGTCTGAGATTGGAGGCTGAGGGTCCCGGTGGACGTGGAAGGCCACACTGTAGGCCAGGCTCCCACAGTGTCGGGCTGTGGGGTCTGTGCTAGCCCGGAGCAGAGCCAGGTTGCCACAGTAGTGGTACAGGTCCTCGTGATCCTGAGCCTTCGGGTTCATGCGAGGCTGGTCCGGCCTCGGGTAGATGGGGAAGATGGCCTCACCCACCCGTTGGGCTGCCCGTCCCGAGGGATCGTCCAGCCTCAGTGCCTCCACACGCAGCTGAGCATCGTGCTGCCCATCATTCTTGCAGAAACCTGGATGAGGGAACACGGGCTCTGAGATGGTCTCAGGTCTCTCTGCATGTGCCAGGAGAGCAGGAGGACAGGCAGGGCCCTGGGGAAACCTGGGCTGCCCAGCCTTTGAGTCAAAGCCAAGCAGTCTTGGCTAAGATTTCCCTGGTAGGCGACTCCCTCCTAGGCCCCACCCATGGCTGCCTCCCTTTGCTGATGCCCAATCCAAGCCCACCGGGCAGGGGTGAGGAAGGGAGGGCTTAGCCTGTGGGATGATCCTAGGTCCTGCCACCACCCTGGACTCCTAGACTGGGGAAGAGTTCAGCCTGCCCCCGATTTATGGCCATTTAAAGTCTGGGACTTTGTTTCTCCATTCCCTCACATCCCTCCTCCTCCAGGCAGCCTGCTGGGGTGGCCTCACAGTCTAGGCATGGATCTCCTTCTCATTCCAGCTCACTTTACTTTTCTCTGCTTGGAGTTCCTTCCTCTCCACCTGCTCTGGAAGTTACAGAAGGCAGGTCCCAGGTCCCCTCATTTCTGTCTACCCCCACATACCCACAATCAAGTGGGGCTCAGGGTCAGGCACATGGAGCTGAGTGTAACATTACTCGGTGTAATGTCCACTGCCCAGGACTGGATCCCAAACCCGCTGTGTGCTCAACACTTTTACATTTACAAAGCCATCTCTCATCTGCCCTTCTATTTCCTTCTCACCTGACCTTGTGTGACGGGCACCAGTGTCCCCACGCCACACTGAAGGAGGCGCGGGTCACAGAGGCCCAGAATTTGCCCAAAGTCACACCGGCAGAGCTTTGGGATGCAGTCTGGAGCTCCGACCCTGCCCCTCCCAGTTCTCCTGAGGCTCTTTGGGGTCCCAGAGAGGGGCTCAGGCAGGAGTTCCAGGGTCTTTCTCTACCCCAAACCCCATCCCTACTTCATACCTTTGGGCAAAGTAAAGATAAACTTGCTCCTGGTGAGGGTAAGGCTCTGGCCAGGCTCCTGCTGCTCAATGACATCAGTGACAGCAGAGTAGGCAGGGAAGGGGTCCCCATCATTCACTTGCAACTGCACCCCAGCCCCAGAGCCCACCTGCAGGGGGTTCTCTGCTGACAGTCTCAGGGCGTATCTACCCCCCTCATTAAACCCCACGTTCAAAACTTCGAACTCCAGATCTAGCATCTTCTCCTCGGCCTTCAGCCTCTGGCTCAGCAGGGATGCAGAGACCCAGGGTTCAGGTCCCCTGAATGCCATGGCCACTGAGAGACCAACTGCCAGGCTGAGCACTGCAGCCTTTCACCCACAGCCCAGCCTGGACCCAGTCTGAAAGCCTGCAGGCTGGGTGCTCAGGGCCACTCCCCACCCACCTCTGTTTGTTTGAGGAGAAACAAGGTAACAAGGCAGGAAGCTGGGCTTGACCCAGGCAAGTTTTGTTCCATCGATCCCTTCCTTTTAGCATTTGTTCCTTCAACAAATATTTCTTGAACACCTACTGTGTGCCAGACACTGTTTTAGGCATTTGGAATCCAGCAGTGAACCAAACAATAACTCCAGCCCTCTGAAGCTTATCTTCTCGGGGAAGGTGGGTAGAGACAGACAAAAATAAACACTAAATATAGAAAATTATAATGTATGCTAGAAGATGTTAAGTTCCATGGAAAAAATTAGAGCAGGGTCAAGGATGAAGATTCTGGTGTGGGGAGCACATGGGTATGTGGTATCCAGAATTTCCCATTCTGGGAGAGCCTGTTCATGTGCCTATTTCTCAAGAGTTCTTGGCTTGGGGTGTGGGGAGATCTCAAGGGAAGGGAGACAGTGTCTATTCTCAGGGAGCAAACCCTTAGTTTACCTTTCTTTTTTTTTGAGATGGAGTCTCACTCTGTCACCCAGGCTGGAGTGCAGTGGCAGGATCTTGGCTGGCTGCAACCTCTGCCTCCCGGGTTCACGCCATTCTCCTGTGTTAGCCTCCCAAGTAGCTGGGACTACAGGCATGTACCACCATGCTCGGCTAATTTTTGTGTGTTTAGTAGAGACAGGGTTTCACCATGTTGGGCAGGCTGATCTCGAACTCCTGATCTCAAGTGATCCACCTGTCTTGGTCTCTCAAAGCATTAGGATTACAGGCATGAGCCACCGCACCCGGCCTAGTTTACCTTATTAATCAAGACTTACAATGTGAGGCACAGCTTCACTTTGCAGACAGCCCAGAGCCTCTTACACCAAAGAGTTGTCAAGCTGGAATCCATTCTCCCTGACTCTGGGTCTTGGTGTTACCCAATGGGAGAGGGGAGATTCAGGACTCCCCTCAGTAAGAACTATCTCTACCATCACCACTGCCACCATCACCACCACCATCATCACCACCACCACCACCATCACCATCACCACTACTGTCACCACCACCACAGTCACCACCACCATCATCATCACCACCACCACCATCACCACTACTGTCACCACCACCACAGTCACCACCACCACCACCATCATCACCACCACCACCATCACCACTACTGTCATCACCACAGTCACCACCACCACCATTATCACCACCACCATCACCACCACCACTACTGTCACCACCACCATCACTATAACCGCCATCATCATAGTCACCACCATCACTGCCAGCAGCAGCAGCATCACCAGCATCACCATCATCACCTCCATCACCATCATCATTACCCAATATCATCATCATCAGCCTCATTATTAATGGCAGTCTTTGTTGAGCAGCCACTGGATACCAGGTACTCTACATGGCTCTGTGAGTTGATGTAATTATTCCCCCTTTTACAAATGAAGAATCCAAGGCTGAGAGAATGTCAGGAAACTCATCCAAGATCACATGGCTAGTGAGTAAGTGTTGAGATCTGAACCTCAGAATTCTATCTACACTTATCCCTACTAAACATGTCCTGGGACTGGCTCAAAGATTTAAATGTATTATATTAGGGAACTAGGGAATTCTGTACCCTAAAACTGTAGTATAGTTCTGAGTCTAAAGAGAACATTTATAGACAGCATAGATTTCATTCAAAAAAAATCTCACTTGAAGTTACATTGACTGAAATGTGTCACTTTCATAAAGTAAAAGATACCAAGTCTAAAAGTGGTATTGGCCAGGTGTGGTGGCTCACGTCTGCAATCCCAGCACTTTGGGAGGCCGAGGCAGATGGATCACCTGAGATCAGGAGTTCAAGACCAGCCTGACCAAAATGGTGAAAGCCCGCCTCTACTAAATACAAAAAGTTAGCCAGGTGTGGTGGTGCATGCCTGTAATCCCAGCTACTTGGGAGGCTGAGGCAGGAAAATCACTTGAACCTGGGAGGCAGAGGTTGCAGTAAGCCAAGATTGTACCATTGCACTCCAGCCTGAGCAACAAGAGCGAAACTCTGTCTCAAAAAAAAAAAAAAAAAGTGGTATTGGCCAGCCCAGCTACGGGTCCCAATGTATATAGCAGGCTTCC